CTTCCCTTTGTATTTGCGTGAATCAGCTTCTGAAACAACTCCAGCATGGAATGGGGATGGTGACAGCTGAGGATGCACACCCCGACGGGGTGACCTGCACCTCTGGGAGCAAACCTGCTTCCAGCAGCACTGCCCATCCACGCGGAGACGGGGAGGGACACGCGTCCCACCTCCCCACCCAACACATCATCCAACCCTTCTGGGTCACGGTGTTGCTGATGCTGGGTCACGGCCAGCGCTCCCACCCACGTCTGATCTTGGAGACCGCCATGCATCCTTGTCAGGGGGATTATTTATTTTTTTTTTACACCATCCAACTGTTCTGGGTCACGGTGTTGCTGATGCTGGGTCATGGCCAGCGCTCCCACCCACGTCTGATCTTGGAGACCGCCATGCATCGTTGTCAGGGGGATTATTTATTTTTTTTTCTTCCTTTCCCCTCAGGTTAAATATTTCATAAAATCGCAGAAGAACTGGCAGCTGAATGCAGAGGTTATGACGCACGGGTTTCAGGGAGATCTTATTTTTCCCCCTGGGGGGAGTGTCACATATTTCATAGGCTCAGGGAAGAGTTGGGCACATTTACAAAGGAGTCCCCCAGCCCCACCTAAGTGCAAGGACCGTTGTAGGTAGGATCTCCCTCCATGAGCCACCCAAGGGCTGGGGGACCCCCACCCCGCTCCCCAGCTGCCAGCAAGCACACGCCAAGAGGCAGAGGTTAATCCCCAGGGAGGGGAGAAGGGCAGGAGGGCTGGCGCAGCGCGACGGCTGCGATGCTGCCGGCTCCCCGGTGCTACCGGCGGCGGCGGGCGATGCAAGAGCAATTGTGCAACGTAGCGCGGTGCTCTCCAGCTCTCCAGGGCTGGAGTGGCTTTCCAGGACTGAGCTCCGCGGATTGGCCCGGAGCACCCAGCTCTCCTCCCTCCCTCTCCTTCAGCACCCTCAACCCACAGAGATTGGACAGCGGGTGCCACATGGGCAGAGAGGAACCAGGATAAAAGATGAGCTGGACTTGGGGACTGAAGCGTCCGCGGCGGAACAGCCGGGAGAAGTTTGCAGGGAGGTGGCACCAAACTTCCCTGGCTGCACCAAGACAGTGCAGGGGAGGACGGACAGACAGACGGACAGACACCGGGGCTGCGGCTGCCCAGGGACACCCTTGAGTTGAGCACCAGCTGCGGAGCATCCCGTCCCCTCTGCACCCAGCCATGTCCCCGGTGGTGAAGGAGAAGAACCACGTGCGGTTGGTCTTCTTGGGTGCCGCCGGCGTGGGCAAGACAGCCCTCATCCGCCGCTTCCTGATGGACACCTTCGAGCCCAAGCACCGGCGCACGGTGGAGGAGCTCCACAGCAAGGAGTACGAGGTGAGCGGGGCCACCGTCAAGGTGGAAATCCTGGACACCAGCGGCAGCTACTCCTTCCCGGCCATGAGGAAGCTCTCCATCCAAAACAGCGATGCCTTCGCCCTGGTCTACGCCGTAGATGATGCCGAGTCCTTTGAGAGCGTCAAGAGCTTGCGGGAGGAGATCCTGGAGGTGAAGGAAGACAAGTTCCCTCCCATCGTGGTGGTCGGCAACAAGGCGGAGAGCGGGGGCGAGCGGCAAGTGGCGGCGGAGGACGCCCTGTCGCTGGTGGAGCTGGACTGGAACAGCCGCTTCGTGGAGACGTCGGCCAAGGACAACGAGAACGTCCTGGAGGTCTTCAGGGAGCTGCTGCAGCAAGCCAACCTGCCCAGCCGGCTCAGTCCCGCGCTCTGCAAGAGGAGGGAGACGTTGCCCAAGGAGCAGGCGCTGAGGCCACCCATGAACAAGACCAACAGCTGCTCGGTGTGCTGAGCCGGCCACCCCGGGGCCGGGAGGAAGGCGCCAGCAGCAGCGGCACTGGCTGGAGAAACTCAGGTGGGCTGGGTGGGGAGAGGCGCTGCCTCGGCCAAAACCATCCCCGCTGCCTCCCACCCCTTCCCTCCTCTTCCCCACCCAGCCCACCAGCGCCGGTGAGAGTTGGAGATGACAAGGAGGAGGGACTTGGAAGGGACGCTGGGCACCCAAAGGGTGTGGGGAGAGGGTGAGTGCCCGAAAAAGGCAGGAGGGGTACCTGGGGGACCACCGTCGGTCAGCTGGGACATCGTGTCTCTGCCATGGAGAGCTTGCAGGCAGGATACAGGCAGGATGCAGGCAGGATGAAGGCAGGATGAAGGCAGGATGCAGGCAGCTCCTCAGGTACTGGGAAAAGGGGACAAACAACAGGTCTTTGGCCGCACGTGTCAGAAGGCAGACGCGGGCGCCGGTGCAGCTGCATCACACCCCCCGGTGCCGCTCTCCCGGGTCTCCTTCAGGTCCTGTGTCACCTCACCCCACGCACCTGCACGTACCACCTCCTGGCACGGCCACGGTCACAGCAGATCCAGTGTCCCAAGTAGTTTTGGTGTTGTACCTCGGGTAGGCACGTAGAGCATGCGGTAGGGCAGTCTGTGCACCTCTTTGGTTTTCTTTTTTCTATTTTTGTGGGGTTTTTTAAGTGCTCCCAATAAACACCTTGTTGCAAAGTGGAACTGGAAAACGCCTGGGTTTCTTTCTCCTGTTACTTCACATGCTGCAGTGCCCAATATCAGTGTTTTATGCCCAGACCCCTTATCACTGCGTTTGTTTTCCCTCCTCCATCCTTATCTGGAGCATCCTGGCACTGGCAGAGCCTCCCCAGCTCTCCAGCCGCCCCGGCAGGGTCAGGACACTCCGTGTTAGGATTTTCCTGACAATTTAACCACTAAAGTTTCTATCAAGCATGAATAACTAAAAATAAAACAGCTCTTCTCACATCCAAGTACAGAAAAGAACACGAGTCATTAAAAGACAGCTGATCCACTGAAATAAACCCCATAAACACATTAAAAGGAGGTAATAAAAGGAGCAGGAGAAGGGCAGAGAAGGGCGGTATTTGCTGTGCTTGGGATGGACTGCACTGATTTACTCGCCCCTCGCACAGCCCAGCCCTGCTGTAACAAGCATTTAACCTGCTCAGCAGCCCCACCGACACAATAAATAAAGATATTAAAGCTGGGGGATTAAAGAGTCATCCACCCCGGTCCAGACCCCAGGGAGCTGAGCAGTTTGGGCTCCCCTGGCTTTCAGAAGCCCAGCCCTATGGTACGGTGTGCCCCTGCCCAGCCCAGATGGACAGGCTGAGGCAGAATGGCACCCAGTGACCCCCAGTCCCTTCCTCACCCAGCCAGGGGAGAAGATGCCAGCTGGGAGAGCTCAGCCTCCCCATGGGCATCCCTCATGGGGGTCCCCCACTGCCACAGCCCCCGTGGGCACCAGCGCAGTGACAGCCACCTCTGGGAAGGTGAAACCCTCCTCCTGGAGCCCGGGGCAGGAGGATGCTGGGGGGCAGGCAGTGGGGAGGGTGGGCAGGTGCCTGGGTGGGTCTGGTTGCCCTCACTCTCTGGCTCACAGCCACGTACCTCGTGCTGCCACTGCCAGGCTCTGTGAAGCCGTGTGGCTGCTCCTCACCCAATTCCTCAGGGAGACATGGAGCAGCTCAGGACAGAGCCCTTTCCTGGGGAAAACGGGGCTCCTGCCTGGAGGGAATGAAAATACCAAGAATGTTCACTTTAGGCAGCTGATCCAAGGTGGTGGCACCCGATGGGCATGATGGATGCAGCCACAGGTGATGCTGCACCTTGGCTGTACCCATCACCCTGGCCACCCCTCCGTGGACAGATGGGGACAGGGTTGTCCCTGGCAGCTGACCCAAGGTGGTGGCACCCGATGGGCATGATCAGGGTCACGTCCCCACCTACAATTTTGGAAACCCTCCATGGCTGGCGTTGCTGCTCAGCATTTCACAGCATATCCATCAGCATCTTTCCTGCAGGGTGTTGGAAAGAACGGGGAGAGTTTAGAGCCTGGGTGGGGTGTTTGGAGCCCGAGGTCCCCGTTTGCTCCTGCCACAGGTTCCTCCTTCACCTTAGGCACCTGTAAGAGAGACACTGGGTGTTGTGAGGCTGAACAAACCCATGTTTTGAGGCCCTTTGGAATGAAATACTGGGAAAGGGAGCGGCAGTGAGGGCATCACACAGGTCCCCACACCGGTCCCCAGAACCTCCCAAGAGCCATCTGAGCCCTGCACATCTTCACCAGAGCCAGCTGGGAGGAACCGCGGGGAAACCCTTCCATCTCCTCTCTTGAGACCCCCCGTCACTATGTCTATCACAAAGAAGATTAACGAAGTTCTTTCTAATAAAAAAAAAGGATGTGATTTTGGCTTTAAACAGCTTCCAAAACTGGGGTACCTCCCCCCCTTGTCATGCTTTGCTTCCTTGTCATCTTTGGCTCTTCATTTCCATGGACGTTGATGGCACGCCAGGCACCAAAACACAATCACTGCTTCATTCATGTGCCTAAACTTGGCACCCTCAGCTCATCCACCCCTTCTCCTGGTTTTTGGTCCACTGAGGTCCTGCAGCCATGTCATCAGACCTTCTGCATCCTCAGCTCCTTCCAGCTCCTGTGGCTCAGTCCTTTGGGCTCTCCTCACGGCACAGTAGGGCTCTCCAGAGAAAGAGCTTGATGTTGGCGAGTGAAGGTGCATCATCTGATGGTGCAAAACCCCTCAGGGTGCCATGGTCTACTGGGGATTTTTGTCCCACTGCCAGTCCTGTTGGGGACCCAACCTTCCCCTTCTCCCGGGGCAAGCTGAGCCGAGCACAGGACTCTGCTCAGCCCGATACAATCTCAGCTCTCTTGGGAATAACATCAGGCAGGGACAGCTCTTAACGTGGCTAAAAGGTAACGAGAATTGGGGCATTAAGAGGCAGGAATAATTCTTGCGAAATGGGCTCTTGAAATCAACAGAAATTCAGCCAGCACTAAACGAGAAACTGGCACCTTGCTGTGGAAAGAAAACCAACTGCACCAAAACTACAGAAACTAGTCCAAAGCTAGAAAAAAAATCCACACGCCCACAAATTTGGGATAAAAACTTGAACTTTTGAGCACGTTCCCTTTGTATTTGCACGAATCAGCTTCTGAAACAACTCCAGCATGAAATAGGGATGGTGACAGCTGAGGATGCACACCCCAACGGGGTGACCTGCACCTCTGGGAGCACACCTGCTTCCAGCAGCACTGCCCATCCACACGGAGACGGGGAGGGACACGCGTCCCACCTCCCCACCCAATACACCATCCAACTGTTCTGGGTCACGGTGTTGCTGATGCTGGGTCACGGCCAGCGCTCCCACCCACGTCTGATCTTGGAGACCGCCATGCATCCTTGTCAGGGGGATTATTTATTTTTTTTTCTTCCTTTCCCCTCAGGTTAAATATTTCATAAAATCGCAGAAGAACTGGCAGCTGAATGCAGAGGTTATGACGCACGGGTTTCAGGGAGATCTTATTTTTCCCCCTGGGGGGAGTGTCACATATTTCATAGGCTCAGGGAAGAGTTGGGCACATTTACAAAGGAGTCCCCCAGCCCCACCTAAGTGCAAGGACCGTTGTAGGTAGGATCTCCCTCCATGAGCCACCCAAGGGCTGGGGGACCCCCACCCCGCTCCCCAGCTGCCAGCAAGCACACGCCAAGAGGCAGAGGTTAATCCCCAGGGAGGGGAGAAGGGCAGGAGGGCTGGCGCAGCGCGACGGCTGCGATGCTGCCGGCTCCCCGGTGCTACCGGCGGCGGCGGGCGATGCAAGAGCAATTGTGCAACGTAGCGCGGTGCTCTCCAGCTCTCCAGGGCTGGAGTGGCTTTCCAGGACTGAGCTCCGCGGATTGGCCCGGAGCACCCAGCTCTCCTCCCTCCCTCTCCTTCAGCACCCTCAACCCACAGAGATTGGACAGCGGGTGCCACATGGGCAGAGAGGAACCAGGATAAAAGATGAGCTGGACTTGGGGACTGAAGCGTCCGCGGCGGAACAGCCGGGAGAAGTTTGCAGGGAGGTGGCACCAAACTTCCCTGGCTGCACCAAGACAGTGCAGGGGAGGACGGACAGACAGACGGACAGACACCGGGGCTGCGGCTGCCCAGGGACACCCTTGAGTTGAGCACCAGCTGCGGAGCATCCCGTCCCCTCTGCACCCAGCCATGTCCCCGGTGGTGAAGGAGAAGAACCACGTGCGGTTGGTCTTCTTGGGTGCCGCCGGCGTGGGCAAGACAGCCCTCATCCGCCGCTTCCTGATGGACACCTTCGAGCCCAAGCACCGGCGCACGGTGGAGGAGCTCCACAGCAAGGAGTACGAGGTGAGCGGGGCCACCGTCAAGGTGGAAATCCTGGACACCAGCGGCAGCTACTCCTTCCCGGCCATGAGGAAGCTCTCCATCCAAAACAGCGATGCCTTCGCCCTGGTCTACGCCGTAGATGATGCCGAGTCCTTTGAGAGCGTCAAGAGCTTGCGGGAGGAGATCCTGGAGGTGAAGGAAGACAAGTTCCCTCCCATCGTGGTGGTCGGCAACAAGGCGGAGAGCGGGGGCGAGCGGCAAGTGGCGGCGGAGGACGCCCTGTCGCTGGTGGAGCTGGACTGGAACAGCCGCTTCGTGGAGACGTCGGCCAAGGACAACGAGAACGTCCTGGAGGTCTTCAGGGAGCTGCTGCAGCAAGCCAACCTGCCCAGCCGGCTCAGTCCCGCGCTCTGCAAGAGGAGGGAGACGTTGCCCAAGGAGCAGGCGCTGAGGCCACCCATGAACAAGACCAACAGCTGCTCGGTGTGCTGAGCCGGCCACCCCGGGGCCGGGAGGAAGGCGCCGGCAGCAGCGGCACTGGCTGGAGAAACTCAGGTGGGCTGGGTGGGGAGAGGCGCTGCCTCGGCCAAAACCATCCCCGCTGCCTCCCACCCCTTCCCTCCTCTTCCCCACCCAGCCCACCAGCGCCGGTGAGAGTTGGAGATGACAAGGAGGAGGGACTTGGAAGGGACGCTGGGCACCCAAAGGGTGTGGGGAGAGGGTGAGTGCCCGAAAAAGGCAGGAGGGGTACCTGGGGGACCACCGTCGGTCAGCTGGGACATCGTGTCTCTGCCATGGAGAGCTTGCAGGCAGGATACAGGCAGGATGCAGGCAGGATGAAGGCAGGATGAAGGCAGGATGCAGGCAGCTCCTCAGGTACTGGGAAAAGGGGACAAACAACAGGTCTTTGGCCGCACGTGTCAGAAGGCAGACGCGGGCGCCGGTGCAGCTGCATCACACCCCCCGGTGCCGCTCTCCCGGGTCTCCTTCAGGTCCTGTGTCACCTCACCCCACGCACCTGCACGTACCACCTCCTGGCACGGCCACGGTCACAGCAGATCCAGTGTCCCAAGTAGTTTTGGTGTTGTACCTCGGGTAGGCACGTAGAGCATGCGGTAGGGCAGTCTGTGCACCTCTTTGGTTTTCTTTTTTCTATTTTTGTGGGGTTTTTTAAGTGCTCCCAATAAACACCTTGTTGCAAAGTGGAACTGGAAAACGCCTGGGTTTCTTTCTCCTGTTACTTCACATGCTGCAGTGCCCAATATCAGTGTTTTATGCCCAGACCCCTTATCACTGCGTTTGTTTTCCCTCCTCCATCCTTATCTGGAGCATCCTGGCACTGGCAGAGCCTCCCCAGCTCTCCAGCCGCCCCGGCAGGGTCAGGACACTCCGTGTTAGGATTTTCCTGACAATTTAACCACTAAAGTTTCTATCAAGCATGAATAACTAAAAATAAAACAGCTCTTCTCACATCCAAGTACAGAAAAGAACACGAGTCATTAAAAGACAGCTGATCCACTGAAATAAACCCCATAAACACATTAAAAGGAGGTAATAAAAGGAGCAGGAGAAGGGCAGAGAAGGGCGGTATTTGCTGTGCTTGGGATGGACTGCACTGATTTACTCGCCCCTCGCACAGCCCAGCCCTGCTGTAACAAGCATTTAACCTGCTCAGCAGCCCCACCGACACAATAAATAAAGATATTAAAGCTGGGGGATTAAAGAGTCATCCACCCCGGTCCAGACCCCAGGGAGCTGAGCAGTTTGGGCTCCCCTGGCTTTCAGAAGCCCAGCCCTATGGTACGGTGTGCCCCTGCCCAGCCCAGATGGACAGGCTGAGGCAGAATGGCACCCAGTGACCCCCAGTCCCTTCCTCACCCAGCCAGGGGAGAAGATGCCAGCTGGGAGAGCTCAGCCTCCCCATGGGCATCCCTCATGGGGGTCCCCCACTGCCACAGCCCCCGTGGGCACCAGCGCAGTGACAGCCACCTCTGGGAAGGTGAAACCCTCCTCCTGGAGCCCGGGGCAGGAGGATGCTGGGGGGCAGGCAGTGGGGAGGGTGGGCAGGTGCCTGGGTGGGTCTGGTTGCCCTCACTCTCTGGCTCACAGCCACGTACCTCGTGCTGCCACTGCCAGGCTCTGTGAAGCCGTGTGGCTGCTCCTCACCCAATTCCTCAGGGAGACATGGAGCAGCTCAGGACAGAGCCCTTTCCTGGGGAAAACGGGGCTCCTGCCTGGAGGGAATGAAAATACCAAGAATGTTCACTTTAGGCAGCTGATCCAAGGTGGTGGCACCCGATGGGCATGATGGATGCAGCCACAGGTGATGCTGCACCTTGGCTGTACCCATCACCCTGGCCACCCCTCCGTGGACAGATGGGGACAGGGTTGTCCCTGGCAGCTGACCCAAGGTGGTGGCACCCGATGGGCATGATGGATGCAGCCACAGGTGATGCTGCACCCATCACCCCAGCCACCCCTCCATGGACAGATGGGGACAGGGCTGTCCCCGCCAGTGCTGCCAGCATCCACCCTGACCGGGGGGGCCTGGCTGTGGTGAGACACCCCCTGGATGACGCAGTGGGTCCTGGCTCCATGATCTGACCTTTCGCTAATTAGCCAGCCCTGCAGGAGTTTCCCAACTGGCAGAGGGGTTTTATTTTGTTCTAGGGCAAGGTTATGCCCGAATCAGGAGCACCAGGCTCCTTGCTTTACAGTACTATGCTAAAGGCAGAAGAAAACCTCTTTGCAGTATAAAATTAGGAATCTGGGATGAGCAAGGCTGCCTGCCAGCCCCTTCCTGGGCAGCATGACCCATGGAAACAGCCCCTTATGTCTGGGGTGCCCCAACAGCCTCCCCAGGCTCAGGCTGGTGGAGCCCTCCTGGAGGTGCACTGGGGAGAGGCTGCCCCATGCCCCACCACTGGCTCCCCCCAGGCAGAGCAATAACCCCCCCGGGGGCTTCAGGACCCACACACCCAGCCAGCCCCAGCCAAAAACCTGCAGGATACAAGGAGCTGCTGGTGCAGAGATGCTGACTGAGATGCTGACCAAGATGCTGGAGCTGCAACAGATGCAGAGACCGACATGCTGGAGCTGTAGAAGCTGCAGACCAAGATGCTGGAGGCACAGAAGATGCAGAAACTGAGATGGCTGGAGGTGGAGGAGATGCAAAGACTGAGGGGTTGGAGGTGGAGACCAAGATGCTGGAGATGCAGGCCAAGATGCTGGAGGTGCAGAAGATGCTGGAGGTGCAGAAGATGCAGAGACTGAATGCTGGAGGTGCAGAAGATGCAGAGACTGAGATGCTGGAGGTGCAGAAGATGCTGGAGGTGCAGAAGATGCAGAGACTGAGATGCTGGAGGTGCAGAAGATGCAGAAACCAAGATGCTGGAGGTGCAGACTGAGATGCTGGAGGTGCAGAAGATGCTGGAGGTGCAGAAGACGCAGACCGAGCTGCTGGAGGTGCAGGGACCCTCTCGACGGGGCCACCTCCACGTGTCCCTGCAGTACCGGGTTCCAGCAATGAGCAGAGCCATTGGAGGAGCTCACCCACAGCCCAGGCCAAACGCCCAATGCCTGTCTGCCTTATACAGCCCCCCCGCCGACCCCGGCTCTGCCAGCGGGCGGGTCCCCCCTCCCGGGACCTCCCCCAGCCCCGCTCCCCCCGGCCATGGGCAGGGATGCTGGTGGGATGGAGGAGAGCAGCCCTCCCCTGCCCTTCTGCCCCTCATCTGCAGAGTCCCCCTCTGTGGCATTGCAAATTTGGCTTTTTTTTACAACACTTACATGAAATTCTGGTGCGGGGGGGTTGGGGGGGCTGCTGTGCCAGAGTTACAAAGAGGTTCCTCGCTTGGACATCGGGGTTAGCAAGCTATGGCCATGCAGGGACATGGCGTGGAAGCTGGGGTTAGCAAGAATTTGCCATGCAGGGACTCTGGCAGGACAAGAGCCCTTTAGATGTCTTCTCCACATGGCTCTGTGCAGGATGCAGGGTAAGGGAGAGCAGCCAGGAGCCTCAGCCCGTGCCAACCTGCAGAGCACTGCATTCTGCTGCAGAACGGCTGCAGAACAGCTTTGCTATCAAAATGCCAATAAAGCAGCGTGGAAACAGCCCCCGGTGCCTGTCCCAGAGGAGCGATCTGTGCCAGACCCAGCCTTGTCTCCGAGGTGGTGTGAGCCCTTCCCTGGCTGCTGCCCCTGCGTGTCCATGTGCTGGGGGTGCAGAAGATGCAGAGACCGAGATGCTGGAGGTGCAGACCAAGATGCTGGAGGTGCAGAAGATGCTGGAGGTGCAGACTGAGATGCTGGAGGTGCAGAGACTGAGATGCTGGAGGTGCAGACCAAGATGCTGGAGGTGCAGACCAAGATGCTGGGGGTGTGGAAGATGCAGAGACCGAGATGCTGGAGGTGCAGAAGATGCTGGAGTTGCAGAAAATGCTGGAGGTGCAGAGACCAAGATGCTGGAGGTGCAGACCGAGATGCTGGAGGTGCAGAAGATGCTGGAGGTGCAGAGACTGAGATGCTGGAGGTGCAGAGACTGAGATGCTTCTGCACCAGGGCAGGGCAAGACCTGACCCCACTGCATCTCGTGGCCTGACACGTGTGTGTGCAACCTGTGCTCAGCCTCTGCTTTCGCAGAAAAACACAGTGAAGGGCACTCCTGGGGCAGCTGGGTCAGGCAGGGGTGGTAAAGCCCTGTGGAGTGTGAGGTGGTGAAGAACTAAAGCACCTGCAGCTCGTTTTCTTGCAACAAGTGGCAACAAGTGAAATGGCTTTTCTCTCCCAGACACGGATCCCAGCTGCTGAATACAGCACCTCTGCAGCTCGGGGAGTGAGTCCTGGGGCCAGCGAGCACAGACGGAGCGTGTGATGGAGCCATCCATGCTCTTGGCCAGGGCTGTCCCTGCAAACCTCCCGCAGGCACACACCTAAGGAGAGGAGCAAAATTTGCCCTTCCTTCTGCTTCCCCTCCCAGGAGCAGCTGGGGCAGATGCTTCATGCTGGAGCTTCAGGAGAAAGCCTGGGGAGGGCAGGATCCACCCAGACACCCACCTGGCTCTCCCCCAGCTCAGCTCTGCCCTGAAGCTCTCCGTTGTCCCCGGCAGAGCGATGGGGACAGAGGAGTTAACTGTAACCCTGGGCATGTGCAGCCCAGGGCACTTCTCTTCAGGTCAGGAGAACAGCAGAGGAAGGGGCTCTCCCCTCCAGAGCAGCTCTCGGAGCCTTCCTGCTCCCAGGAGATCCAGCACGTAGAGGGGAGGATGCCCGGATGGTGGCCCAGGGACAATCAGAGCCTGCTGGGGACAATCAGGGCTGTCATCCCCAATACTGTGTGCCAGAGGATGCTGCAACACCTCAGGGTGTTGTTCCCCTCAGAGGAAAAGCCTCGGTCTCCAGTGAACCACCCGCAGGCACGACATTGCTGTGCCCAGGATGGCATCCCAGGCTCGCTCTCCTGATCCCACCTCTGGGATGGGAAGGGTTTTTCATCCCACTGATCCTCTTAGTTAATCAGCTGCAGTTTGAGTTTGGGTTGGTTTTTCATCGGTGGGCTGTTATCTCCATGTGTAGAAGGGCTCTGGTGCCAGGGAAGGGGAGTTTTGGTGGGCACGACAGCGGGACAAGGGACATGGGGGGGTCCCTGCCCCTGTGGGGTGACCGTGGGCGAGTCGCTCTCCCTTCACAGGACTGCTCTGCAAACCCCAGCCCCTCGGTGGCAGCAAGGTCTGTGCTGGGCACACACCGCTCCTCAGGGCTGCCCTGCCTGGTGCTGGGTCTCTGCTGCTGCTCTTCTCCAAAAACAAACCATTGCAGCGAACTCAGCCCCTCCACATGCAGAACCCTTCCCTTCCCTTCCCTTCCCTTCCCTTCCCTTCCCTTCCCTTAGCCCACAGCAACACATGAAGACTATGGCCATGGAACTGGAGGACCTGTGTGTCAGCTGCCCGGCTGGCCCTGGGGCTGGAGTGGCTTTCCAGGACTGAGCTCCGCGGATTGGCCCGGAGCACCCAGCTCTCCTCCCTCCCTCTCCTTCAGCACCCTCAACCCACAGAGATTGGACAGCGGGTGCCACATGGGCAGAGAGGAACCAGGATAAAAGATGAGCTGGACTTGGGGACTGAAGCGTCCGCGGCGGAACAGCCGGGAGAAGTTTGCAGGGAGGTGGCACCAAACTTCCCTGGCTGCACCAAGACAGTGCAGGGGAGGACGGACAGACAGACGGACAGACACCGGGGCTGCGGCTGCCCAGGGACACCCTTGAGTTGAGCACCAGCTGCGGAGCATCCCGTCCCCTCTGCACCCAGCCATGTCCCCGGTGGTGAAGGAGAAGAACCACGTGCGGTTGGTCTTCTTGGGTGCCGCCGGCGTGGGCAAGACAGCCCTCATCCGCCGCTTCCTGATGGACACCTTCGAGCCCAAGCACCGGCGCACGGTGGAGGAGCTCCACAGCAAGGAGTACGAGGTGAGCGGGGCCACCGTCAAGGTGGAAATCCTGGACACCAGCGGCAGCTACTCCTTCCCGGCCATGAGGAAGCTCTCCATCCAAAACAGCGATGCCTTCGCCCTGGTCTACGCCGTAGATGATGCCGAGTCCTTTGAGAGCGTCAAGAGCTTGCGGGAGGAGATCCTGGAGGTGAAGGAAGACAAGTTCCCTCCCATCGTGGTGGTCGGCAACAAGGCGGAGAGCGGGGGCGAGCGGCAAGTGGCGGCGGAGGACGCCCTGTCGCTGGTGGAGCTGGACTGGAACAGCCGCTTCGTGGAGACGTCGGCCAAGGACAACGAGAACGTCCTGGAGGTCTTCAGGGAGCTGCTGCAGCAAGCCAACCTGCCCAGCCGGCTCAGTCCCGCGCTCTGCAAGAGGAGGGAGACGTTGCCCAAGGAGCAGGCGCTGAGGCCACCCATGAACAAGACCAACAGCTGCTCGGTGTGCTGAGCCGGCCACCCCGGGGCCGGGAGGAAGGCGCCGGCAGCAGCGGCACTGGCTGGAGAAACTCAGGTGGGCTGGGTGGGGAGAGGCGCTGCCTCGGCCAAAACCATCCCCGCTGCCTCCCACCCCTTCCCTCCTCTTCCCCACCCAGCCCACCAGCGCCGGTGAGAGTTGGAGATGACAAGGAGGAGGGACTTGGAAGGGACGCTGGGCACCCAAAGGGTGTGGGGAGAGGGTGAGTGCCCGAAAAAGGCAGGAGGGGTACCTGGGGGACCACCGTCGGTCAGCTGGGACATCGTGTCTCTGCCATGGAGAGCTTGCAGGCAGGATACAGGCAGGATGCAGGCAGGATGAAGGCAGGATGAAGGCAGGATGCAGGCAGCTCCTCAGGTACTGGGAAAAGGGGACAAACAACAGGTCTTTGGCCGCACGTGTCAGAAGGCAGACGCGGGCGCCGGTGCAGCTGCATCACACCCCCCGGTGCCGCTCTCCCGGGTCTCCTTCAGGTCCTGTGTCACCTCACCCCACGCACCTGCACGTACCACCTCCTGGCACGGCCACGGTCACAGCAGATCCAGTGTCCCAAGTAGTTTTGGTGTTGTACCTCGGGTAGGCACGTAGAGCATGCGGTAGGGCAGTCTGTGCACCTCTTTGGTTTTCTTTTTTCTATTTTTGTGGGGTTTTTTAAGTGCTCCCAATAAACACCTTGTTGCAAAGTGGAACTGGAAAACGCCTGGGTTTCTTTCTCCTGTTACTTCACATGCTGCAGTGCCCAATATCAGTGTTTTATGCCCAGACCCCTTATCACTGCGTTTGTTTTCCCTCCTCCATCCTTATCTGGAGCATCCTGGCACTGGCAGAGCCTCCCCAGCTCTCCAGCCGCCCCGGCAGGGTCAGGACACTCCGTGTTAGGATTTTCCTGACAATTTAACCACTAAAGTTTCTATCAAGCATGAATAACTAAAAATAAAACAGCTCTTCTCACATCCAAGTACAGAAAAGAACACGAGTCATTAAAAGACAGCTGATCCACTGAAATAAACCCCATAAACACATTAAAAGGAGGTAATAAAAGGAGCAGGAGAAGGGCAGAGAAGGGCGGTATTTGCTGTGCTTGGGATGGACTGCACTGATTTACTCGCCCCTCGCACAGCCCAGCCCTGCTGTAACAAGCATTTAACCTGCTCAGCAGCCCCACCGACACAATAAATAAAGATATTAAAGCTGGGGGATTAAAGAGTCATCCACCCCGGTCCAGACCCCAGGGAGCTGAGCAGTTTGGGCTCCCCTGGCTTTCAGAAGCCCAGCCCTATGGTACGGTGTGCCCCTGCCCAGCCCAGATGGACAGGCTGAGGCAGAATGGCACCCAGTGACCCCCAGTCCCTTCCTCACCCAGCCAGGGGAGAAGATGCCAGCTGGGAGAGCTCAGCCTCCCCATGGGCATCCCTCATGGGGGTCCCCCACTGCCACAGCCCCCGTGGGCACCAGCGCAGTGACAGCCACCTCTGGGAAGGTGAAACCCTCCTCCTGGAGCCCGGGGCAGGAGGATGCTGGGGGGCAGGCAGTGGGGAGGGTGGGCAGGTGCCTGGGTGGGTCTGGTTGCCCTCACTCTCTGGCTCACAGCCACGTACCTCGTGCTGCCACTGCCAGGCTCTGTGAAGCCGTGTGGCTGCTCCTCACCCAATTCCTCAGGGAGACATGGAGCAGCTCAGGACAGAGCCCTTTCCTGGGGAAAACGGGGCTCCTGCCTGGAGGGAATGAAAATACCAAGAATGTTCACTTTAGGCAGCTGATCCAAGGTGGTGGCACCCGATGGGCATGATGGATGCAGCCACAGGTGATGCTGCACCTTGGCTGTACCCATCACCCTGGCCACCCCTCCGTGGACAGATGGGGACAGGGTTGTCCCTGGCAGCTGACCCAAGGTGGTGGCACCCGATGGGCATGATGGATGCAGCCACAGGTGATGCTGCACCTTGGCTGTACCCATCACCCTGGCCACCCCTCCGTGGACAGATGGGGACAGGGTTGTCCCTGGCAGCTGACCCAAGGTGGTGGCACCCGATGGGCATGATGGATGCAGCCACAGGTGATGCTGCACCTTGGCTGTACCCATCACCCTGGCCACCCCTCCGTGGACAGATGGGGACAGGGTTGTCCCTGGCAGCTGACCCAAGGTGGTGGCACCCGATGGGCATGATGGATGCAGCCACAGGTGATGCTGCACCTTGGCTGTACCCATCACCCTGGCCACCCCTCCGTGGACAGATGGGGACAGGGTTGTCCCTGGCAGCTGACCCAAGGTGGTGGCACCCGATGGGCATGATGGATGCAGCCACAGGTGATGCTGCACCTTGGCTGTACCCATCACCCTGGCCACCCCTCCGTGGACAGATGGGGACAGGGTTGTCCCTGGCAGCTGACCCAAGGTGGTGGCACCCGATGGGCATGATGGATGCAGCCACAGGTGATGCTGCACCTTGGCTGTACCCATCACCCTGGCCACCCCTCCGTGGACAGATGGGGACAGGGTTGTCCCTGGCAGCTGACCCAAGGTGGTGGCACCCGATGGGCATGATGGATGCAGCCACAGGTGATGCTGCACCTTGGCTGTACCCATCACCCTGGCCACCCCTCCGTGGACAGATGGGGACAGGGTTGTCCCTGGCAGCTGACCCAAGGTGGTGGCACCCGATGGGCATGATGGATGCAGCCACAGGTGATGCTGCACCTTGGCTGTACCCATCACCCTGGCCACCCCTCCGTGGACAGATGGGGACAGGGTTGTCCCTGGCAGCTGACCCAAGGTGGTGGCACCCGATGGGCATGATGGATGCAGCCACAGGTGATGCTGCACCCATCACCCCAGCCACCCCTCCATGGACAGATGGGGACAGGGCTGTCCCCGCCAGTGCTGCCAGCATCCACCCTGACCGGGGGGGCCTGGCTGTGGTGAGACACCCCCTGGATGACGCAGTGGGTCCTGGCTCCATGATCTGACCTTTCGCTAATTAGCCAGCCCTGCAGGAGTTTCCCAACTGGCAGAGGGGTTTTATTTTGTTCTAGGGCAAGGTTATGCCCGAATCAGGAGCACCAGGCTCCTTGCTTTACAGTACTATGCTAAAGGCAGAAGAAAACCTCTTTGCAGTATAAAATTAGGAATCTGGGATGAGCAAGGCTGCCTGCCAGCCCCTTCCTGGGCAGCATGACCCATGGAAACAGCCCCTTATGTCTGGGGTGCCCCAACAGCCTCCCCAGGCTCAGGCTGGTGGAGCCCTCCTGGAGGTGCACTGGGGAGAGGCTGCCCCATGCCCCACCACTGGCTCCCCCCAGGCAGAGCAATAACCCCCCCGGGGGCTTCAGGACCCACACACCCAGCCAGCCCCAGCCAAAAACCTGCAGGATACAAGGAGCTGCTGGTGCAGAGATGCTGACTGAGATGCTGACCAAGATGCTGGAGCTGCAACAGATGCAGAGACCGACATGCTGGAGCTGTAGAAGCTGCAGACCAAGATGCTGGAGGCACAGAAGATGCAGAAACTGAGATGGCTGGAGGTGGAGGAGATGCAAAGACTGAGGGGTTGGAGGTGGAGACCAAGATGCTGGAGATGCAGGCCAAGATGCTGGAGGTGCAGAAGATGCTGGAGGTGCAGAAGATGCAGAGACTGAATGCTGGAGGTGCAGAAGATGCAGAGACTGAGATGCTGGAGGTGCAGAAGATGCTGGAGGTGCAGAAGATGCAGAGACTGAGATGCTGGAGGTGCAGAAGATGCAGAAACCAAGATGCTGGAGGTGCAGACTGAGATGCTGGAGGTGCAGAAGATGCTGGAGGTGCAGAAGACGCAGACCGAGCTGCTGGAGGTGCAGGGACCCTCTCGACGGGGCCACCTCCACGTGTCCCTGCAGTACCGGGTTCCAGCAATGAGCAGAGCCATTGGAGGAGCTCACCCACAGCCCAGGCCAAACGCCCAATGCCTGTCTGCCTTATACAGCCCCCCCGCCGACCCCGGCTCTGCCAGCGGGCGGGGCCCCCCTCCCGGGACCTCCCCCAGCCCCGCTCCCCCCGGCCATGGGCAGGGATGCTGGTGGGATGGAGGAGAGCAGCCCTCCCCTGCCCTTCTGCCCCTCATCTGCAGAGTCCCCCTCTGTGGCATTGCAAATTTGGCTTTTTTTTACAACACTTACATGAAATTCTGGTGCGGGGGGGTTGGGGGGGCTGCTGTGCCAGAGTTACAAAGAGGTTCCTCGCTTGGACATCGGGGTTAGCAAGCTATGGCCATGCAGGGACATGGCGTGGAAGCTGGGGTTAGCAAGAATTTGCCATGCAGGGACTCTGGCAGGACAAGAGCCCTTTAGATGTCTTCTCCACATGGCTCTGTGCAGGATGCAGGGTAAGGGAGAGCAGCCAGGAGCCTCAGCCCGTGCCAACCTGCAGAGCACAGCATTCTGCTGCAGAACGGCTGCAGAACAGCTTTGCTATCAAAATGCCAATAAAGCAGCGTGGAAACAGCCCCCGGTGCCTGTCCCAGAGGAGCGATCTGTGCCAGACCCAGCCTTGTCTCCGAGGTGGTGTGAGCCCTTCCCTGGCTGCTGCCCCTGCGTGTCCATGTGCTGGGGGTGCAGAAGATGCAGAGACCGAGATGCTGGAGGTGCAGACCAAGATGCTGGAGGTGCAGAAGATGCTGGAGGTGCAGACTGAGATGCTGGAGGTGCAGAGACTGAGATGCTGGAGGTGCAGACCAAGATGCTGGAGGTGCAGACCAAGATGCTGGGGGTGTGGAAGATGCAGAGACCGAGATGCTGGAGGTGCAGAAGATGCTGGAGTTGCAGAAAATGCTGGAGGTGCAGAGACCAAGATGCTGGAGGTGCAGACCGAGATGCTGGAGGTGCAGAAGATGCTGGAGGTGCAGAAAATGCTGGAGGTGCAGAGACCAAGATGCTGGAGGTGCAGACCGAGATGCTGGAGGTGCAGAAGATGCAGAGACCGAGATTCTGGAGGTGCAGAAGATGCTGGAGTTGCAGAAAATGCTGGAGGTGCAGAGACCAAGATGCTGGAGGTGCAGACCGAGATGCTGGAG